TTTATATAAGTATCATTATATTTTCTAATATAATCTATATAAAATCTATAGTACCCTGTTCAATTCATCCTTTGACACAGAAGCATGTTGATCTCTGAATACATTATGCACAATTGTTCTCCACCAATTCTCCCATCCCAAACCAGTGTGCTTGCCATATATCGGGTGCTCCTTGCTAAGTTGCGTGAAATTGCTTTTAAAACTTCGCGCCAATTTTTTCGGCTCAATGAATAAACCATGTTGAGAACCAATCTCGACGTAATGTTCTTCGAGTTTCGTCATTAACAGCGTGCCGGTCACGTCGAAGGTCACAAGACGAGGCCGAACACGATTTATCATATTTTTGATGAATTTCAGTGATTCTCGATGATTTCAGAATACTTCAAATAAAAGAGTCAAGGGAGAAAATATTGCAGTCGCGATAATACTCGCACAGTATATTCACACATAACTCCCAACCATGGACGAAGATGCCAATGACATCTGGCGATTGAAGAATAGAGTCCAGTATGACTATTGGCAGCAGTGATGCCAGCGTGAATCGCGTACATGTGATGCGCAGAGCACTCTGCGCTGGACCTCGTTCTGGCATCAGAGACTCTATACTGCGTTCACGGAGAGAACAACCTCGCTTTTCGTCCGGTTCGGTCAGATCCCGCCCGATCGACCGCCCATTTTGCCCCCTCTATGCTGTCAATATTGGTCTTGCAGCTTGCAGATCCGGCTAATTGACAAAGGAGACCCGCGCATTCCTTAATGAATTCTTTCAAACATTAGAAAGTTAATATGATCGATACGCATACGGCATTGAAGTAACGCGCTGAAGTCTCTCACCTAATTCCCACTCCGCCCAAAGCTGCGCGAAGCGAGGTTGTTCTCTCCGTGAACGCAGTATAGAGAGATCACTGATTGACAGAATGAGAGACATATAAAATACATAGGAAGTATTAGGATAAGTATGCGGATAAGGATGAGTTATCAATCCTATATTTAAACACACTTGATAATATATCAGAATTCATTTGTTACATTCTTAGTTTTATTATTACTTTAATAAAGAATTAGTGTGTTATATTAATATAGAAAGAATTGTTTCTTTATCTTGTTTTAAAACTCTAACAAAGAAAAATAAAATTAATTTTTTAATCAATCTGAAAAAATTTTTCTATATTTTTGTATTAAAAAAAAATTTTATATTTCTATATTGAAGAAAATGTTTACAACGAATATTTTCTCTAATTCACTTTGTAATCAAGAAAATTTAAGCATACACACACACACACGAAACATTTCAGAAAATATTAAAATTAAAGGAATGACCAATTTATAAATAAATTGGTTTATTACAAAGTTGTACATGGATACAAGGTGTCGCATTTCTTTCTTATTATAAAAAGGACCGATCGTCCCGTCCGTTGCACAACATTCCGGCCAAAATTTAAAAAAGAAGTTTCTGGCCAATGAGAACCGACGAGATTATCGTCGATGATATAATAATAATATATCCCCTATAAATATACACAATATATAATATACTTAATTATACACAATAATCGGAATTATTTTATACATATATCTGTAATGTAATAACTATATATATAACGACATAATAATAATATATAACATATATAATATTAAATTGATTAAAAAATTCATTCGTTTCAATTTATTATTCTTGTGTTATTAATACTCCTCATTTATTATTAATTTTATCGAAACTGTAGAAAAAAAAGGAATGAATTTCTCTGATCAACATAATATATAAATATATTAATTTTACGGCAGTCGTCAGTTTTGTCGTCATTAAAATTTCGTAATATATTTGCACAAACGATCAATTAATGGAGTAATCTCGCCCTTATACACACGCATATAATATGTATATGTGTGTGTATACATACACAAACACACACATATTTCAGCGTAAAAAATGTTATCTATATATATTGGTCAGTCTCACAATCGTTATTCTTAATGTTTATGCAAAATTTTATCTTCAATATTTGCTTATCTCTCATAAAAGCTTTTGGAGTTTTGAAATTTTTAGATATCTCATATTGAAAGCTACATTTAAAAGAATTATATATATGAAATTTTTTTTTTTTATGTAATATATTAAATTTTAAAAATATATAATACAATTGGAATTTTATAATCAACCTAATCAAATTGAATTTAAAAACTCTTTTTTTGCAATGATAAACATCATTATCGCGTGTTCTCGTGAATCAATTATTAATTATATAAAAATATTTAGAAACTGAATGTTTATCATTTTGATATCAATAATTTGTTGACAAAATAACAAAAATTTACATAAAATCACGAACAATATGTTATATCGATATTGATAGAACTACTGATATAGAGTTGATACATATCCGCACTTATTATGAATAAGAAAAATAGCTTTTTAGAATCATAAAATCAAAAGAGAAAATAATATTTTTGTTACAAAATTATCTCTTACAATAAGTTTAAAATTTAACTAATTTTTTAACCATAAAATCACATTATTGATTTTTCTAAAATACTTTGACCATAAAATTTCATTTGTACTGTAAAATTACATATATGTATACAATAATTTTACAGTTTTACAGTGTTTTTTTATAATTACAGAAATTTTGTAATACAATTTTAAAAGAGCGTTCTTTATTTAAATAACTTCGTTGATCTTTCGCTCCTTTTACATTTGTCTTCACGATATATGTATATAATTTTTAAGTTATTGTATTTTTATATCATGTATATATTTTATGTATTATTTTTAATTTTTTATTAAATTATTAATTTAATAAAAAATTATTAGATTAATTAAAAATTAATTGATCTATTAAGTAAATCTTTGTATCCAGTACTTTAGTGTGTACACAATATATCTATGTACACAATATATCTTCATAGCTTTCTCTTCAATAAAACTTCAATTTTAATTTTATCTCCACTATTCTAAAACTCGAATATTTTTTTAAACACTTGAATACTTTTCTATTATTACATTGATACGCCATTTATAACGCCATATTTGCAACTATTTTGCCATTTTTTCTTCAATTTAATATCATTGATAAAATTATTATTAATAGAATATTAGCTAATTAATATTAATCAATTAATATATCACATACCAATATATATTAATGATATTTACTAATATTAATTAATCAATATCAATTTAATAGCTCTAATATTATATTAATTGATTATTTAATAATACAAAAATGCATAATTTTCACGATATATTGACAATCATTGTTATCTCTTTTATCTCTCAACCGCGTTTTTTGTTTTCTGATATTAAAAACAATAATATACTACAGAAATCATGAAGGAAACTTTACACTGATCCGTATAAAAATATATATGTGTGTGTATTCAATACATGTATATAAATTTACGTAGAAAAAGAATATTAAACTTAGTTGCGAGAGTCGGCTTACCAAATAAATAAATAAAACCATATATATATAATCCAGACGGAATCATAGCAGTTCTTTGCCAAGCTTCTTTTAGTTTTATAAAACATTAAATGCTAAATTTAATTTAAGTGTAAATTTAAATTTAAATATTTTTTTAACAAAAATATTAAAAGCTGAATTTACAATTTAAATATAAACTTATATTTAAGTTGTAAATGAGCTATATGTGATTCAGTCTCGATCATCACAAATATTAACTACGATAAATCATAATAGGGAGACGATATAATAATTATCAGTATTATATATTTCACAGTAAAGAAATAATAAGAGATCATACAAGAAATGTACAATTATGATCTATCGCGGGAAAATATGATCGATTGGCGTTATCCTTTGATAGATCAAATTTTTCGATGTTTGATTATGAAAAAACTGTTATCGCTTCCTGGTTATTATACGATTGTCGGTAAGTTTTCGTAAATACGATGGGCAATTTAAACGAGCTTTTCCCCGATTTTCCAGACGGTGCTTCGCGATTCAATGGCGACAAAAATTCAAGATCTAGAACTTTACATTTCAGGAAACTTTGTGATATATAAATAATTATACATACATAATTACCGAAAATTATATGTAATCTTTAATTAAATTTTAATTTATGTTTTAATTTAGTTTTAGTTAATTTACATAATATTGATTTTGATATATTTAGTCTTATCAAATTTTTAATTTATTTTGATACTATAATTTTAATTTAATTTTATAAAACAAGTTTATATTTTTCGTGTTTTTTTTCCCCATCAAAATGAAACGTCGTCAAATCTCAATAATTTGGATTATTACAACTCTGGAGGAATTTTACAAATAGCTCTAGTCCCAATTCTTTTTTCGAATAAGAAAAAATAATGACTCGCTTAGCACTGGACGGGATCGACAATATCTATTGCACATTTTTTATTTTTATAGTAGATCAGATCCAATCTTTAAGCCGAGAGTCATTATATATTTAGCCTTTTTTCTCAAATATGTAATGATTGATAGATCTATGATTCTTTATATCCAAAATGTGAAAATATATTTTATCTTTTGAATATTTAGATATTTTATCATCGCATATGCAATAAGTATCACATTTTTTTTTTAAATAATTAAACACAATAGAAATCTTGATAAGTTTTGAAAAATTGGCCCTTAATTCCATAGGTTTTTGGCTCAATCGATAATCAATTCTCAGTTTAATTAATTCTCGATGCATAGACCCTTGGCTCCATAAATACATATAAATCCTGATTTCACCGAATCTGTTTAAATATTAAGTTGATTGTTCAAAATTTTCTTATGTTATATTATTCTTAAACTGACAAAACAAATAAACGCGAACAAAAACTTTTTCATCAACTTAATATATCAAACAGATTCCAATAATTTTCATCTATTGCAACAGACACAGTATTTCAAATTATTCTTGCATATCATCAAATAGTTAATTTTCTTTTCTTTTTGTGCGTGTAATTAGAACGAAACAATCTGAAAACAACCCCATGATCACAGTTGCGACTTGTCCTCAGCAGGTACTCGGCTTGTACATTTTTTAGCCCGCTTTTTTCTCACGTTTAGCGTTAAATATCAAGAGAATAGTCAGAAATTATTAGAATTGTTTCCTATTCTTATTTAAATGACTTCAAACTTTATATTTCCGACTATCTCCTATTGTCCAATAAAAACTTTTATAGATGTCATCATCTATAGATTTTATGATCAGCTTGGAATCCATCTTTCGTATTTTCGTTAAGGAAAAATGGATAACAAATTGGTGAAAGATCTATAGATGATAAAAGGTAATCTGGAAGACCTCCTATAAAATCAGAATTGAACAAACTTTACGCTAAACGTGTAATCAGAATGTGCCCATCTCTTCTTTATTAACTAGGAACTAACAGTTTTTACTTGTTTACTCCTCTTTTTTCCTCCCTTTTTGTGTCTCTCTCTTCTCTCTCTATAGAAATATCTCTAAGTATCATATTCTCTAAAATTACCTATCAAAAATTTGCTGGTCCAGTTTGCCAATCTGATTGCCACTTTCAATTTTTCTATCTAGATCTATATCTTTTCCTCTCCGTCATTTTTTTCTCTCTACTAATACTGTCTAAATACAGACTAAAAACAGACTTTGTCAGTCCCCCTGCTGTATAAATGTTTGTCTTTATTTATTGCTATCGACTTGGGTCATCAATGTAACTGCTATTTATTAATTTACGTCATGGAGCGTCGCGTGACATGGAAGTAAATGCAAAAACCCGTCTCTTTTTTCTTATCTTCGCTTTTTTGGACCCGGGCGAGAATAGATTGGCAGCTTGGAGCTTGTACAGAATGTTCCAAAACAACTATCAAATATCCTTCTAAAAAATCAATTCTATTATAGTTAATTATTAGGTAATTTTTTCTGGATAAAAAATGTCGAAATTCCAAAATTTGTGCCATACATTTGTAATTAAATTTTAAATTATTAAATTATGTCATATGAAAAATCTTGTTCTTATATTTATAAAATTTTCAGATAATTTATAAGTTATATAACTTATAAAGATTCTGTTGTTTTTTGCCTTTTCTCATAATAAGAAACCATTTTCATAATCTCATCTGGATTAAATGTAGGGAGTTTAAAACTAAAAGATAAAAAGTTCTAATTTTATAGAAAAATCTTAAAAAACTTAAAAAACTCAAAAAATTTTTTAAAAAAGAATTTCTTATAAGTATCTACAGAATTGAAATTGTATTTAAAGAGCTGAAAATTTTAAAACTCGACATTTTAAATGCAATAACCCAATAACTAGTTTTAACTTAGAATTTCATAGACAAATATTAGTTTCATCTTCAGTCATCATCTTTTATCAGGATTGTTGACTTTGGTTGTTTTAGCACACCTTGTGTACATCTTTAAGCAGTGGCACTTGAGTGTAGAAAGGCGAGAGCGTAAACCACCAGTTCGAACCACTGTTCAGTGTAAGAAATCTGAGCATCTCTTACTTTACAATATCATCACAGTACTTTGATGTGTGTTTATATTGCTATATCTTAAGACTTAAAGATTATCGGCTCGAGAAATGGCGGTTTACGTCAGTCCATTGCTAGAATTAACTTATTATTCTTAACACGATAAATTGCATCCAAATGGCATTTAAATCTTCAAAATGAAGATTAAAACCCTTTCAGAGCCATTTTGCTGCCCGGAAATAGTGCACTTAATTAATTTAAGCTTAAATCTATCTGCATATACAGGGTGATCCATATGTACTATAACAAATTAATGACATCTCAAGATATGTTAATTCCAAAAAGATGTTTTAAGTAAAAAATTTTTAGATTTAAAAAAACAAAGAAAGTTTAACAATTGAGACGCTTTTTTCGTAAATAACCACTTTCAAATATTAAATATTCATTTTCATCGTCACTCAGCGTTCTTTTACCGTATATTCTTTTTTAATATTTTAGAATTACAAAATATCCCTTTAAAATCTTAGAAACATTCTTTTATTTCATTAAAATATAAAAAAATATATTTATTCTCTTATTTTTTTATATAAAATATTAGTTTATATAAATTATTTTTAAATAAGAAAGCAAGTTTTTGCTTTATTATTTATTCAGCATTTTTGAATTAATAATGCTTAATAATAATAAGAAAAAAATAGTTTAAATGCTGAGTAAGATCAAAAATCTTACTTATATCTCATAAAGTTAAAATTCGAATATTCTCCACAGGGAAAAATCGTCTTCAAATTGAAATTCAAAGTTTAGTTTAAGAATTTTGTAATCTAAAATAACCCCCCCGCCCCCCAGAAAAAAATAAATATTGCAGGAGTCGAATGTCAAAAATTAGTCTTATCTCAGAATTAAAAATTAAATTTTTGTGCTATAAAGATAAAATTCTTTCTAAATTGAAAATCTTTCAAATTATAAGAATCTTCCAAATTGAAATTTTAGATGAAACTTGTCATTAAAAAATTATTTAATGATTTGTATGGATACCCCCTGTATATGTATATATATGTACATATTTATGCGTATTTTTTCATAAGTAAAGGAATAAATTAACCTTCTACAAAGGACCGACATTAATTGGAGACCGACTGGAGTGACTGATTACCGACATTAATAGTTTGCAAGGATTTACAATTCGATAATTGTTCAAGTTCTATAGACCTTACAGGTTCTTCTATCTCCACATCTTCCTTGATCTGAACATTCTTCGCCATCTTGCTCTCATACTGATTGGAGGATTCATCATAACCGGAATCAGACGACGAATCACTGAATGTTTTGGTACTTTGTTTGGAATTAGTTTCCGTATTTGCTGATGATGTAGATTCGACGCTATGAGCAGGACTAACAGATGCCGAACTGTGAATGGGACTGACGGATGCCAAGGAAGCAGTAAGCTGCCGCCCGGTAAAGCAGCTTATACAGGGTTTGAGGAAGGAAGGGTACATTATGACCTCGCCATTGGCACCTCTGAAGATGCTGCCGCAACAAATTACTTCCCTAGAGAAAAAAAAGCAAAAATATCTATAATAGATACATTATAACCTTATCATTGGCATCTTTAAAGATATTGCCACAACAAATCATTAAAAATGCTAAAAAAATGCAAATGTATAAAAATACATATCTACAGTATGAGAATATTTTTAGCATTTTTAAAATTCTTTGTTATTATAATAATTACAAAATTCGATTAAATAATTTAGAAATGTTACCTTTTATAATATGATAAATCGATGAAATTAATATTGTCTTTTTCAATATCTTGATCTTCAGAAGTGAGACCTAGTTGTTTTTCATTAGCATTAATATCGTCGTCGTCTGAAGCGCTTTCCGATCTGCTTGAAATTTTGCTATCCGTTAATCTGTAATCTTCTGCAATAACAAAAAGAATATTAAAATATATACAAATATTAGCTTTTTACTGTATTTTATTAGGATAGGAAGTTTAGTATTTTATCATTGCTGAATTATATACATACATACATACATACATACATACATACATACATACATACATACATACATACATACATACATACATACATACATACATACATACATACATACATACATACATACATACATACATACATACATACATACATACATACATACATACATACATACATACATACATACATACATACATACATACATACATACATACATACATACATACATACATACATACATACATACATACATA